GTTGGTTGGTTGGTTGGTTTAGGGTTCAGCAACTCCAGATCGAGCAGTTTCTAGTCAAGCTCGCTACTTTGGTATCAGAAATCGTCCCACCCACCCAAGATTCCCCTAACATTACGACACCATCTTACCCGACACCCTAAACCCCTAAACCCTGAACCCTTAATTTCTTTTTGAACCCCAGAGCTGAGGTTTTGTCTAAACCAGTCTAAGCCCTAGGCCCTGAGCCCTAAACTCTAGATCGACACACTATGCAAGCCCCAAAACCCTGGGGCTTAAACCCTAAACCCCAAAACCATACGGCCTAAACCCAAAGCCCCAAAGCCCGAAGTCCTAAACCCTGGCCCCAAAACCCTAAAGCTTAGGAAAAGCTTATAAATCCCAAACCCCAAGCCCAAAAAAACCCTAGGAGTTGGCGAACAAAACGGCAACGAAGATAGGCCTTCGTTGAATATGGCGATTTCTTCGCTAAGTTTGACCGTTTCTTCGTTGAATCTGGCGAAACAAGCGCCGACAACACCATATCCAACGAATGAAGTGAGGCTTATATATATATATATATATATGATAAAGAGTGCTTAAGATTTAGGGCCGAGGGATTGAATCCTGAGGGCATCAGGATGAAAGCAGTGAGCTCTTCCGGTAGAAGCAAGATATCCCTAATGCAGAACCTGAGGCCTAAACCCTAGGGGTGTAGGGTTTAGGGTTTAGGTGTTTAGGGTTTAGGGTTTAGGGCTAAACCCGAAGCCCTAGACAGACCCCAAACCACGGGCAGCGAACCGGAAGCCTTATACGAATCTTATCCGGTTTAGGGTTTAGGGTTTAGGGGGACCGGGCGCTTTCCTTACCTGGCTGGGTTCTTAGCAGGGGGGATTTGAGGAGCATACGGGGATACTGCTAAAACCCTAAACCCTACACAGACCTCCATCTTACAAACTCTGAGCAGAGAATACGAGCCCTCTGAGTGGACTCTGCGTCAACTCCAGAAGACTTGACCCGGGCTTGTACGGTGTCCAGAAATTGCCATCCACCAAAACAATCTCTTGTCGTGGTGCCTCGCCCATACCACCATCATCCATCACTCTGCAGCCAGTATTCTTTCTTCCCAAATCACGGGTGTCCACAAAGCGAGCCGCCTGGACAACCGTGAAGAGCACCTGCTCCATTTGCAGCACCGAGTCAAAGAAAGTGGAACCTCCACGTCCCTCCTCGGTCACCCTGTGGACCCCAACGGCTCGAACCTGCTGGGGAGTAAAGGGCGCCATCAGTCGGAAGTAGTCCGTTTCCGCATCCTCACCGTCTCAAAACGGCTTAGGGTCTGCCTGGACCCTAGAGAACCTACCATTTTAGGGCTCCTTATTATGAATTCTTTACACAAGTCCTTAAACATGTAGGTCATTTGGGGTTAAGGTAGGGTTCTCACACGCAACAAGAACTGGAATGCTCTTAAGCCATTCCCAAACCTGAGAATTCAAATCTTTCGCCCTTCAAAAACAGTACCACAGCGCACAACGGCATCCATAGTTTTGGGGCTTCTTGGGTTTAGGGTTTAGGGTTTAGGGTTTGCACCAAAGAGTCGCAAGAGTGTATCAACATCCTGGCTGTGTCCCAAGGTGCACAGTGCCTCGGCTGTGGCACTGAAGTCTGCATGTGCACTGGTGGTACGCCTTCGGCTTTAGTCAGCCTGGCTTTGCATGTGTGCAGGAGGTGCAGCTGGTGGTGGCTGCAGTCAGCAAGGGGGTTGACCTCCTTGGCGTGCAGGAAGCTGCAGACTAATTAAGGCGCAGCGGCGTTGGCAGGAGAAGTGGGGCGGCCGCGGAACTTGCTTGGCCCGGAGGGTGCGCCAAACGGGTTGGAGCAAGGGCGGGAGTGCTGGAGGAGGGGCGCGCCGCTCCGCTGCACGTGCCACGTGCCGGTCGCGCTCCCTCTGCCCGGCCCGGCTCTCCATGAAAACCCTAAGCCCTCAACACAAAAGCCCTAAGCCCTAAAACTTTCAGTCGTTCAACCTAAACCTTAAACCCCTCCAAAATCAATGAACCCCTAAACCCTTTAAGGCCTCCAAACATCCTCCTTGAAAAACGAAACAGCAATTACCCTAAAAAAATGAAAGCCTACAACCGAAAAGCCTTAAACCTCAAAACCCTAAAGCCCTAAAGCCCCAAATCCCTGACACCCTAAAGCACCCTAAAGCCCTAAAACTCTAAAGACCTAAAGCCAAATCCCTAAACTCTTACAACCCTAAAGCATCCTAAAGCCCTACAGCCCTAAAGACCCAAATCCCTGAAGCATGCTAAAAACCTACCTTAACCTACCCAAAACCTACTTGTTTGCAGGCTCTTATTATAAACCACCTTATTATGGAATTTCTTAGGGACCCTACAAAAAAGTAGGTTTTGGCAGGCTAAGGTAAACTAAGGCACCAAACCCTAAACCCTAAACCCTAATCCTTAATCCCTAACCCTAAACCCTAAACCTTAAACCCTAAACCCGAATCCCTAAACCCTAAACCCTAAACCTAATCCTTAAACCCTAAACCCATAAACCCTAATCCGTAATCCCTAAACCCTAAACCCTATAAGGCACCGGCGTCCTGGGTTCTCCAGGAGCCACGGGCTCCCGGGCCACGGGCTCCCGTGCTATGGGCTCCCAAGGCGTTACGATCGGCTCGGCCTCGCAAATACAGGGTTTAGGGTTTAGAGTTTAGGGTTTAGAGTGCAGGGTTTAGGGTTTCGGGTTTAGAGATTAGGGTTTAGGGTTTAGGGTTTAGGGCTTATGGTTTAGGGATTAGGGCTCTAGAGTTTGGGGTTTAGGGTTTAGGGATTAGGGTTTCGGGTTTAGGGTTTAGGGCTTAGGGTTCAGGGTTTAGGGTTTCGGGTTTAGAGATTAGGGTTTCGGGTTTCGGGTTTAGGGCCTAGGGTTCGGGTTTACGGTTCAGGGTGGGTTTAGGGTACAGGGTTTAGGGTTCCGGGTTTCGAGGTTATTAGTCCTTCGTTCAGCGTTTGCACCTGAAGGCACATGACTCACTTTTTTCACCTGGGTGCAAGCTCGGAAAACACAGAAATCTGATGATATAACCTAGGCCAGCCTAGCCGTTTCTATCGAAAGCCCTAGCACACAGTCTCGCCCGTTGGCCTTAGGGCAAGTCCAAGGCCTTAACTGGCTATCATGATCTTGAAAACCCTAGTTCCGAACCCCTGAACCCGGAACCCAAAAGCCCAGAAATCCTGAACTCAGAAGCGCAAAGCTCGAAATCCAAAATCCTGAACCATAAACCCCTCGCCGAAGTCCTAAGCCCGATAAGCCATATGCATATGCCCTAAACCCCGAAACCTAAACCCTAAACCCTAAGCCCTAAACCCCGAACCTTGAAACCCGGATCCCCAAACGATGAAGTCTAAACCCTGCGTCCTAGCCTAAGGGTTTAGGGTTTAGGGTTTAGGGTTTAGGGTTTAGGGTTTAGGGTTTAGGGTTTAGGGTTTAGGGTTAGCTTTGCCCTAACAATCCCTCCAGCCAAAACGATGAACCCTGCACGCTACCAGCCTTAAACTCGGAATTACACCCAGAACCCTACAACCCCTGAAGCCTAAACCCTGAACCTAATCCCTGAATCCCAATCTTAACCTTGCGAGCTCTAAACCTGCCCGGAAAAAACTCTCAAAGGAATTCTTATCGGAGCCCAAACAAGACTTTACAGGAACCTCCCATAGGAGCACGTGTAGCACCGTACACCCTGAACTCTAAACCCTAAAACTTAAGCCCTGAACCCTTAACCCTAAGCCCTAAACCCTAATCCCTAAACCCCATGAGCCATGAACCCCTAGACCCTGAACCCTTTCAGGAAGTCGTGAAGGAAACTTTCAAAGGAACCCTTCTAATACAGGGGCCTAAAGAATTATCTATACTATTTTTGGGGGGCTCCTTATTATCATTATAGTATATTATACCGCAAAACCCTATTCTGATTGTTAAGGCCCCTAAACCTTAAGCCATTATAGTAGCCCTTATAGAACCCTTCAAGGAACCCTTGAAAGCAATCCCTATGAAACCCTATTCTAATTCTTAAGGCCCCTGCATTAGGAACTCTGCCAGGAACCCTGACCGATCCTTTAGAGGAAGCGGTTTAGGGGTTTAGGGTTTAAGGTAGGGTTTAAAGTTTAGGGTTTAGGGCTTAGGGCTTCGGGCTTGGGTACGGTTTGGGGTTTAGGATTTAGGGTTAGGGTGTAGGGTTTACGGTTTACGGTACAACCCAAACCCTGACAACAAGCGACGGATTTAGAGTTTCGGGCTTTAGCGGTAGGAAGCCTTTATCCTTCAAGTACGTAACTCCCCAAACCCGCAATAACGCAATAACCCTAGGAACCGATGAACCCGTAAAGGAACCTGTAAGGCTTCCCAGAGAACCCTATTACCCCTTAATTTAAGGAAGATGCCTTAACTGATAATATTAAGGCCCTTACAATTTAAGGTATATTCCTTAATAAGGAATATACCTTAAATTATAAGGGCCTTAATATGATCATTTAAGGTATATATTATAAAATTAATTAAGGGGTATTGGGTTCTCTGGGTTCCTCTCGGGGATCCTTCAAGGGACACTGTAAAGAAACCGAGCCCATCTCGCCCTCACTCCGACACACCCTAAACCCTAAACCCTAAACCCTAAACCCTAAACCCTAAACCCTAAACCCTAAACCCCAAACCCTAAACCCTAAACCTAAATCCTAAAGAATGACCTAGGAAGACTGGCCTGACAGTCCGGAGACATCCTGCAGGAGAAAGGAGGTCTAGGAAGCTTAGGGTTTTGGGGTTTTGGGGTTCAGGGTTTTTAGGGTTTAGGGTCTAGGGTTTAAGGCTTTAGGTAGTTTGGGTGTTTTGGGGCTTTAGGATTGAGGGTTTTGGTGGGTTCGGGTTAGGGGTTTGGGGAATAGCATGGTTTATAGGGTGCGTCTTTAGGGTAGCTGTAAACTAAGGTTGCGCAAAGCATTTAAGGCTCTTGGGTCCAGGTTCCTGAACAGTTGGAATGGGGGTCGGTTTGTTGTTGCTTTTTGGTGAGGGGGTAAAAAGCGTATCATAGCTATTTCCGGACTATGACGGGAGACTAGTACTGAAATTTCAGGCCTGTATCGACCGCTCAGGGCGCCTGACATTTCGGGCTTAAGGTTTAGGGAATGTTCACCCCTAAACCCTAAACCCTAAACCCTAAACCCTAAACCCTAAACCCTAAACCCTAAACTTCTCGGAACTTAGGAGTTCCGTAGTGTGTGTTATGCTCATGATCAGAGTGTCCAATGCTGCTTCCAACTGCCACGTGGGCGATCTGTCTTAGGGTTTAGGGTTTAGGNNGGTTTAGGGTCTGTAAGGCCTCTGTCAACGGCGAGGTAAGTGCAGGTTGTTCGTAGGGGTGTAAGAGGGTAGGAATTAGGGTTGAGGATGGTTCTGCCAGCATGCATACATCTCTGAGTACAATAACCAAGTACATGCACACATATACATATAAATATCTAAATAGAAAATAAATAAATACATAAATAAATAAATAAATAAATAAATATATATATATATATATATATATAGCCCCCCGGCGACACAACCCCACTTTCACAGACCGCAGCCTCTGACAACAAGCACAAAACTCTAAGCCACAACGCCCACGCTCTTACAATCCGCACTCTGATGCCTTAGCTATATTAATGCCTTCATCTGCTTATGATAGTAAGTACAGGTAGTACATTATGATACATTGCAGTAATTGTAGTAAACCATCATCGTATACTATGAGATATAATGGAGGCAAGCCCAACATCCCGAAACCAACAAACAAAATGAAGCTCGGCCCTGCATTCAGCCCCTATAGTGTTCGCTTTGTTGCCGGGCGATATAGCGTCTGTCCGTCCTGCGACTGTTGATACTTGATTGAAGATTGCATACCTCCCTAACGATTGGAATTCCGTGGAGTTTAGGGTTGAACCCTAAGCCGTAAACCCGGTCAGGGTTTAGGGAACCCTTCTGAGCGCAAAGGTCCCGTACATGGGCAGTTCTCCAAATTACGGTCCCTTCTAGGATCCTTTGTTAAAGTGGCTTCTACTATTTTGGGACCTAGAGAGGGACCCTAATTTAGAGAACTACCGACATGCAGGGGTTCGTCCCTCTTTTCATCTAGCACCCCAAAACCCCTGAAATTGAGGAATGCAATGCCCTTACTCGTAAAAGGAAATACCCCAGAGTGGGCTTAGGGTTTAGGAGCAGAATTCAAAGCAAATTCCCTTTGCGTTCTAAAGAAAACGCTGAGTTTCTATTCCGCTATCATGTTTTTTGTTATCTGGTTTTCTGATGCCCAGACACCCGTCGCAAACCCTCGTAAACCATAGACCCCTCAGAACCAAGCCCCAAACCCGTACAATCCTCAGCCCAAGAACCTATAATCCAAACCCTAAGCGCCCTAAACCCTAAAGCCCTCAACCCAAAACCCCTATACTAAACCCCTAACCCTAAACCAAACCTAAACCGCTCCCGAAACTCCTAAACTCAGTCTGCCTGGCGCTTGCTTTGGCGCGCATCATCGCCTCCTCGTGGCGCGTACCGGCCTGGCGGCACGAAGCTCTGAGGCACCCGCTCTCCAGGCTTCTAAGAGTTTAGGGTTGAGGGGTTTTGGGTTTCTATAGGTTTATAGGGCTTATAGGTTTCTAGGGTTTATAAAGTTTTATACAGGTTTATTGGGTTTGTGTAGGTTCATAGGGTTTTATGGGGTTTATAGCGCTCAGGGTCTTAACCCTAAATTTGACGTCATCCCAAGCCCCCCCCTCCCCCCGAAATCATCCCAGACCTCTTTTCCTTGAAATTGAATCCTTTAGAGTTTTTGAGTCCTGTCTTCACATCTCTCACGGAGGTGGACCATTGACGACTCGCATTGACCTGCAGCACCATATTGACAGCTGCGCTCGAAGGCTTTGGTGCCGAGCGTTCTATCTGATGCACATGTGGCTCTGACCAACCCACCACACACCATCTCGACTTCGGCTTGGTGGTGTCAGCCGTGAGCTCCAACGGCTCCAACCGGCCTTCGTCGACGGCTGCTGCTTTCGCTGCCTGGTGATCGTCATGTCCTATCTCCTGAGGTTTGTAGCTGTCCACAAACCGTGACGTCAGCACGTGAAGCACCAGGATGCAGGACTCGTAAGGACACACTCGAAAACCCAGTTTCCCTGTATGCTTTAGCAGACTTGACCTCCACGCTGGACCGGAGACAAGTCCGTACACCTCGGTGAGGAGCAACAGGAGCTGACGTGGATCAAGTCCAGGGAGGCCCTCGTCGTCCGGCTGTCGGCAGGCTAGAGGTACTCGACGGCTCGTAGGACGTGATTGAAGAAAGGCTGAAAATCCGAAAAAAAAACACCGCTAAATCCGAGGCACAGCCCAGGACTTTCCAAATTAGGTTTAGGATGGTCTAGCGTTGCTGGGTGCTACAAAAGAATCAGCTACCACAATAAGGAAACCATATTACTACGATACCTCCCCACTTAATTAGTTCCTTTAACAAGAGCCCGTTAGAAGCTGAGGCTAAGCTGTTTCGGGATCCCTACGCACCTTACATCCTTGTCCTAAGCCCCTAAACCCTAAAACCCTAAAAACCCTAAAACCCTAAAACCCTAAGTCCTAAACCCTAAACCCTAAAACCCTAAACCCTAAACCCTGAAACCCTAAAAACCCTAAAACCCTAAAACCCTAAATCCTAAACCCTAAACCCTAAACCCTAAAACCCTAAACCCTAAAACCTTAAAAACCCTAAAAACCCAAAACCCTAAAACCCGAAGCTCCCGTCGCCTAAAGCCGTAAATCCCACCGTAAGCCCGAATCGGAAGCCCTGAGACCCTTGAAAGCATCCGAAGCTCTAATCTTGCGATGCCTGCCCTATGTTAAAGGAAGTAGTTTAGGGTAACAAGGCTTCTACAAGGCTTCTCTAAGGTATATAGACCTTCTATAAGTCTCCTATGACGGTAACTACCCACCTGAATATGTCCTAGACTATGTAAGCCTACTTTATAGGAGCTCCTTGAAAGTATCTACTCGACACCCCTAAAACCCTGAAGCCCCTAGAGTTTAGGGTTTAGGGTTTAAACCCTAAAAACCCTAAACCGATAAACCCTAAAACCCTGAACCTCAAGAGCCCGACACCCCTTTTGGATCCTCTCGCTGCCTGCCCGAGCACTGACTGAGTGTCCCGAAGCTTCTGGCGGAGGTCAGACAGGGGCTCCTTGCAACACAGGGGCTTCTTAATGAGTAGAGCAAGGTTCCTGTAAGGGTTTGCGGTTTTGTGTCTTAGGGTTCTTTAACGGATAGAACAGGGTTCCTGTAAAGGGTTTAGGGGTAGTTTAGGGTTCAGGGTCTAGGGTTTTAGGGTTCCTGAATGAGTAGAACAGGGTTCCTGTAAGGCTTTATAGGGTTTAGGGCCACTGAATGAATAGAACAGGGTTCCTTTAAGGGTTTAGGGCTTAGCGTCTAAGGTTTAGCGTGGAGGGTTTGAGGGCCCTAATGAGCAGAACTACTTACTTCTACTTTCAATGATTCAGAGTGACCATAAGGGGTTAGCATAGGGGCATTTCTCAAAGGGCTCCTTTAAGGGTTCCTCTTGAAGGTGCTATGAAGTTTACTGTAAACGAATTAAGGTCTAGCGGCCTGAGTAATTGCAACAGGGCTTTGGGGTATACTGTAGGGTTCATGGTAGACCCCCAAAAGTTGGAAGCCGGCTGCAGGACAATTCGTGCTGGGATTGCTTATACGTTACTCTTCGGGAATGAGGCTATTGGGTTTCCAACTTTCGGGCTTCTACTGTAGGAAGTTTAGGAGTTTAGGGTTTCAGTTTAGGGTTTAGGTCCGCAGAGCTTGCTCTTTGGGGATCATAGGGTTTTCGAAAGTGGCCCCTATAGAAGAAAAAAACATCCAAACAACTCCAAACTAAAAAACCCTCAACCCGTAACAAACAGGTTCCTTGAATAGAAGTGCCTAGGCTCGAAGTCTTTAAACCTTCGAAACCCCCAAACCCTACACCCCAAACCCCAAGGCCTTTGAACCAATACCCGTAACCCTAAACCCTAAACCCCAAGCTCTAAATGCCAGAAGAAATCTCAGGCCCCTTGTCAGTCAATCCTCGGGCGCAACGACCAACTTCCGCTGGTCCCGCATGCTCTGCCTAGCATTCAATACAGATTAGAGAGCGTTTAGAAGTTGTGGGCAGGGTTTAGGGTTTGGGGTTTAGGGTTGGGGTTTGGGTAACAAAGTTAGGGCTTTGAATAAATAACTAGAACCGCATGCTTGAGCATACTATAGTGTCATCATCTGATATAGTATTTATACTTGGGTAGTTCTGGGAATTAGGATCCCTTTTTGACCCCCCAAATAGTACGGCACCCCTGACATTAAGAACAAAATACCCATATAAGCAACGCGGGAGAAGCAGAGCCACCCTGATCCCTAAACCCTAAACCCCAACCTCCAAACCCAAAACCCTAAACCCGAAACCCCAAACCCTAAGCCAAACCCCAAACCCTGAACCCTAAGCCCTCCGGGTGGGGCGCCTTGTGGGTCGGTTGCGGCCTTAAGGGTTACCCTAAAGCCTAAACCCCTAAACCCTAAATCCCTAAAGCCGAAACCCTAAAGCCTCAACCCTTATAGGTTTAGGGCTTTAGGGCTTTGGAGTTTTAAGTGTTCAGGGTTTGGGCTTTTCTCTGTCGGGAGTTGAGTTTAGAGTTGAGCTTAAACGCCACACTT